AGCGTTACTTGGAGAGGCATGGGATTGAATGATCCAAACACAATCGTAGTAGTATATGTTGCGGCCATGTCTTCAAGGTCAAGCTCGATCTGCCCTTGTTATGTCAGCTTCATGATGAGCTCTTTGAGGACGAAGCACTTACCGACCGGATGACTCACGATACTATGGTACTTGCAATACCTAGGATCATTAATGTGATTCATCTCTTCAGGGTGCTTGCATTCAGGTAACTCAATTACCTTCTTTCTAGCAAGTCGTCTAACATTGCAGCCACGTCAGAGTCAAGAAAAGGGTACGTCTTCTGCTCCAGTTCCCTTAAAGTGTTTTTGTACCTATCTTGGGTGCGAGAATGCTCACTTTTCATCTCCTTTGTTTTGCTTTGGAGGAAATCTTGATGGGTGCAAAGGTCTTAATAGGGATAGTATGGACGACAAAAGCTTCTTTGGTAGGCTTTCTCCCAGTTTTATCTACCTTTGGAGCAAATACTTTATCCTTTTTTAAGTCGGTGATCGACTATTTCTTCCCATGATTGGCAATACTCAACTCTATGGCATGGGATTGAGTTGCCTATTCTTCAAAAATTCTTGGTTTGATGCCTTGGAGGATGTAATGTAGCCCCCAGTGTATGCCTTGAACACACATATCAATGGCGGAGGTTTTAGAAAGCCAATATTTGCAATCCAGACTCAATGAGTGCCATCTATTGATGTCGACGACAAGTATGTCCTTCCACTGCTTTACATTCATCAGCTCAAGCATGCTTATAATACGGCGAGTGTTGTAGAAGTAGTTGAGGAATTTCCTTTAAAGGTGATCCTAGCTATTGATGGACTCGAGCATGAGGTCAGTGTACCAGTCAAAGGCATTACCTTTTAGTGAGCGCACGAACTGCTTGACGAGACAGTCCCCCTCCGTCCCAGCATTGTTGCATGTTTCGATGAAATGGGCAATATGTTGTTTAGGATTGTCCTTTTCATCGAATTGCATGAATTTTGGCGGCTGATAACCCCTGGCATCATCAAGGCGTCAATCTTCTTGGAGTATGGCTTTGAGTACAGCACGGAGTCGTGTAAGCTTCCTTCATACTACACCTTAGTCGTGTTAATGATCATCTCCTACAGCTGCTGGATAGAGAGAGATCTCATAAGCATCGTTGCCTGGTCTGGCTTCTCCTTGATTTTATCCATCGGAGGCTCCTCATCCTAATCGGTTTCCTTCTTTTGTAGATCAACCTTTGGGTCACGATCAGCTTTTTCGTCATGCTGTGCCTCCAGTTGGTTGACGAGTGCGACAATTTGGAAGTCCTTTTCCTATATGGTCCTTGTTAGCCTTGTAATTGCTTCATTCATTTGAGCCAGTTGTTCCTCAATTGAAGTTGCACCAGTAGTCATGACTTACATGGCAACGGGATATGAGCTACTGCGTGAGTCAGCATCGGAAGTCAACGACTCAAAGTACTTACTCGGGCTTTCTTCCCTTGGCGCCCTTAGCAAGGCCAAGATCGTCACGGGCTCATGCCTCAGGTGCTCTTGCTCCTTTGGCAAAGTTGATACAGATGTGGAAAGCACAACAGAAAGAGCTATTGCCTTGCTTCGAGTTGTGACACCCAAAATGCCACCACTTACAGCAAGGATGTTTTTGTTCTTCGTATTCATTGCAGCAACAACTTGATCCTTTTTTGATGCCATATGTGTTTCATGTGGATTTGAAGACAGAGATGAGAGGCAAAGAAGTCCCACAGGGCATGCCAAATTTGTAAACACGAAATTCTATAACAAATGAAATAAGAACACATGTACAAAGTAGATTTGTATTGATTTGAATTTGTAGGTTACAATCTTTGTTTACAACTTTCCTCTGATTTAGTCTTCAAATTTGATGTAGATTCATAGGTTGTTGATTCAAGGGTCGCGATGACTTAATCTCGAACGAACGATTTAACGATTGCTTCAAGTTTTGAGCTTGAAATAATGTGTAGATGGTCTTCACCTCAAAGATGCGGCAAAGGTAGTGTTGATGTAGGATTTTGTTGATTCTAGGGTCTTGACGACTTGATCTTGAAAACGTTGTTACAAGTTTTGAGTTTGTAACAAAGTCTTGAAGGAATCGGCATAAGTGCTTGTTGATTCTTCAAGGTAATGCTTCGGCTTTGGTTGTGTATTCTTCGAAGACAGCTTTGGCAACGTATTAGTCTTTAAAGATTTAGCAAATGCTCTCCTTTTGTGAGAATTTTGGCCCTTCAATGTAGAAATTGTCGACCTTATGCATGTCTTGGGACCTTGTATTTATAGACTTCCAAATCCATGCCTTTAGGTGGATTTGGCTTTGATTTGTGTCTTAATTTGTCCATGGGAGAATTTAGGCATGTTTTGTGTCTTAATTTCAGCCACTTTCCCTTGCTTGGCCAAATCATAGGTCTTTCTTGCCTATTTTGTGAGCAATCTTCAATTCTTGCTTGTTTTGTGAAGATGATTTAACTTTCTTTCTGGTTTTGAGAGCAATTTGGGCCCCTTGCCGATTTTAAGGGATATTTTCCCCCTTTTGCTGAATTTTGGGAAGGTTTTGTATTTCCTTTGCTTGACTCATTGATGACTTGTCCATTTGTGATGAGTCATATACCATGTAGAGCTTTGTGATGCATCATTTGTATGCAACGAAATTTTCATGTCTACAGTAAGAACTTAAAGTTTTAGGAGGGTACTAATTTAATCTAGAGGGGGGTGAATAGGTTCCAACTTATAAATCTAATGTCAATTTCGATTCTCAAATTATTTTCATATCTACATCACACACGATAATATCCTATAGATATGCTTAAATACACAAATAAAATATGCGCACCGGATGTAGGATTTAGACAGGCAAAACCCACCACTGGAAAATCCTCGTGCTTCCAAACTAGGACAAACACTAAGAGAAATGAGTGCAGAAAGACTTACAAAACTCATCAACTAGATACACATATTAGTAGGCGTTTTTGTTTCGGTGCTTTGTTACTCGATCTCTCTTGAGGCATCAAGTAGAAGTGAAACCACACTAACGAAGCCGTTCACTACCTTCTTCTCAAACTTTACAAGATACTAATGCAATCACGTAAAATGCATGGAATGATTTTTTTTTTATTTTAAATAAATTAATTACGAAAATCACATGCCACAGTTTCATAATTAATCTAGAATTAAAGCCCAAACAAAACCAGCACGAGGAGTGCAACTTTTTCTCTTAAAATAACGCTTGATCAGTAGTGATGCACACTATTTGCCCTCAAAATCAAAATTCCTCTCTATGCAAAAATGCTATGTCCAGATCAATGACAACAATTAAAGACAACAAAAAAAAAATTATGCATTTAAACCATCGGAAAGGGATCATCTCTGGATCCCTTCCTTCTAATCCACCAAATCAGTGGATCCGTTCCATTAAAATTTAATTCAACAACTGAAATTATTATAACTTTTAAAATGGACCCCTATTTGTAGACGTTAAATCAAATTTCAATGACACGAATCCATTGATTTGGTGGATTGGGAAGAAGGAATCTGGAAAGAATCCCGATCCTAAACCATCAACCTAAATCAACAACTATTAAACCATGTTCTATAAAGTTTAAGCCCAAACCAGTGTAACACATATAGCCACACAAATAAATATACTTCGAAAGAATATTAAACCCAATCACTAAATAAGGCTTAAGAATATCTAATGGAAGTTCCCATTTAGAGACTCCTACCATCACTTTTGAGTACTCATTTAAAAATTTAAAGGGAATCTTTGTATCCCTAAAAGAATATTGCCTTCAATGGAAGAGTCCTTATAGTAGAATCCATATATTTGAAATTTTAATGATTCTATGTAATAGTTTGATTAGGTGCACATTTTTTGTTTATGATAACATTTTTTTAATTAATTAAAAACATTCAAAACATTAAAAGCTTCAATCAAGATTGTGAACCCGTTTTCCACTCAACGTGCACCTTTTTCGTTTATATTAACATTTTTTTTATTAATTAAAAGCATAAAAGTTTCAATCAAAATTGTAAGCCTTGTTTTTCATTCAAGGTTGTTTCTATATAGTCCTTGTATGTGAGTACATACATTATGTATTTGGTGAGTTCCTATACTTTAAGGATTCACTTTCCGATTTATTGGATATTCATTTGTCCCTATATTTGTTTTATACTCATTTTATACAGTGGTTATTCCTATTTAGATACTACTAAAAATGCTCTAACTACATGAATGCATATGTTTGACACACTTAGTTGAGTGGATGTCTCTTAAATATTTAATGTTCTTTATAATTGAAATCACGAAAAACTAAACTATTTTATATGATTAAACTAGAGGAATAAAAAATATATATATTTATTTGAAAATTTGAGATGGTTCCAGAGACATGGTGAGCAGAGAATAGAATCATTTGTTCCTGCTCTTCAAGCTGTTCAGCTCCGGTCATTCTTCATTGTCGATTTCTTGTATAAATTCACAAGAAGAAGAAGCAGGGTTTGCTTGAATGGTATGTGGAGGCGAATGGCGACGATGATCTTTCAAGGACGGATGAGGACCTCGATGAGCTTAAAGGGTGTTTGAATATTATTTACATACAGTGTGTATGGGCTCCATCAAGTCTATTTTATTAGAAAAATACTAGGAGAACACATTTTTTTATTACATTTATATATCATCCGATGTGGCAAGTAACGTCTACATGTCACGTCAATTAATGAATATATCATATTAGAGGTCGATTGCAAGACTCATTTTATTGAAACAATAATTTTCATTCCAGTCCAAGCATGCAAGCATCCCTTCTCATAATTTCAAAAAGAAGATTCTAGAGAGATTATATTTTGAAGATCATATGTTATGATAGTTGATGGTTAGATTCATTATTTTAATCATAAAAAAAAATGAACTCAACTATCAACCGCAATATTATGTGATTTATAAAATATAGTCTAATAAAATGGTCTCACCAAAAAAATAGAACTCAACTATCAACCGTAAACTACCTATAAATTACGTAATTCAGAAAAATACGCAGTTATCATCCCACCATAACACAAAAATGAGAACTCCCGCTTTCTTTTTCACTTCTCTCCCTGTCTCCCTCCTCTTCTTCCTCTTCACCTTCAATGCCATAACTGCCAAAAACCTCATCCCTGAAACTTGCAAAAAATTTGCTCAATACGATCCAAACCTAAGCTACAATTTCTGTGTAAACTCTCTGCAAGCAGCGCCGAAAAGCCAGCGCGCCGGTCTTCACAAACTCGGCATAATCTCAATCAAGTTAGTCCGCAACAACGCAACGGACACGAGGCATTACATCAAGCACCTTCTGAAAAACAAGAACCTCGACCCCTACGTAAGGGCGTGTTTGGGCGACTGCTTGGAGCTTTACTCGGATGCCATACCAACCATTAAGCACGCCCTCATGAATTACAAGTCCAAGAAATACGAAGATGCCAACACTGAAGTGAGTTCAGTCGTTGATGCCTGCACAACTTGTGACGATGGATTCAACGGAGGAAATCGGTTGGTTTCGCCATTAACGAAGCGAAACGGCGACACGTTTCAGTTGTCGATTATAGCACTGTCTTTTATCAATATGCATAATTCACCAAACTAAATCAAGTGTGTGTGCGCGCGCGCGCATGAGTATATAACTGTCTTTGTTCATGAATTATATTTGTGCGTTTTATATTTTTATTAATTATTTGTATTTATTTGGTTTGTTTTCTACAATACCTATATTTGATGTTCGTCCATTGTTTTGTTTGATTTCCTGGTTGTTGTTGTTTGCAAGGTAGTGTGTGAAACAATCTGATTAATCAGAAGATATGATTAGGAAATTGCTAATGGTGGGCTTTGGAAGATATATAATATCAAGAAGGAGTAGCTTCTAATTAATCCTATTGTATTAAATTATTTTATGATAGAGAGGTACTGATGAATTAAAAGTTCACAATGGGAATGGGAAAGATAACTTCTAAGGTTCGACAAAATGTGTACGTATGGTAATTACTCGTGTTTGTACGTTATTTGTTAAAACTAAATGAGGTTCAATATGAGCCCAGTTTTGAATAAATGAAACGTCACTCCAAATTTGAAACGATCTTCTATCTGCAATGAACCAAGGCTTCAAGTTTCACGGCTAATTAACACCTCATATTGCTAGACGTTGATCAATCTCGATCTTATTATACGAGATTGTTGAAAAGAAATCTCATAACTGAATAACTATTCGTCCGATCGTATAGAGAGAGATCCCAAGTTTAAATCCCGTCACGAAATTTGAAAACTATAACATAACAAGCAAAAAGAAATCTCAAAAAGTATGTGGTGGGAGCCTTGTGCCTTGTACGCAACAACAAGAAGTACTCTTTTGTTAACTAATTAATTAGATTGCTTAATGGATGAAACTATGGGTATTGTGTTGATGCAAGAATTGATTGTTACATGAGAAAACAATATGATGGGTGAATATTGTGAAGCTCAAATGGTTGCCATTTTATTTGAAAAATGGATAAAGATTAGAATGCCAAAAACTTAATACGAAAATATTTGGGTTCCTATACGTAAAGAGCATTTTCTCTTCACAATTTGTGACGCAGCATGGTATATGATAAAGAAATCGAATGAAACTCCGACGCTAGAATCCACTGGCAAGCCCTAATAGTTAAAATATAACATTCATTACACCCAAGAGGTGTACTTATACGTCGAATACATGAAGCCAAACCCCACATCAAAACTTTGAATAGAAAACAAAATAAAAATTTAACGAAATATCAAAAGCATCCTTAAAACTTGGAACGCTGTTTTGCATTAACATAATGTAATATTTCCGTTAGTTTGTTAGATTGTACACGTCAGCTTAGTTAGCTTAGTTACTAAGTTTGACAACTAGTGTCCAGCTATAAATAGTAGCTCAACTGCTTGTATTTTGGATTCATTTGTTACAGTGAAATATTCATCGTGCTCGATAAGTCTCTCTCTTTCTTGCTTTTCATTTTACTCAGCTCTTCATTTTCTTGAATCTCAATCTTCTTGGAAATCATGATTTCTCTTTAGTTATCATTTTGAAGTTTAGAAGGAATTTAGCTAAAATTGCCGCTATGTCACAAAAAAAGCTAACCAAAGCTTGTGAGTATTGATTTACGCGCCATTTTCTTCAGAACGACATATTATACTGCAATTTGCTTTGTCATCTGTTCTACATCAATTTGATACGTTTGTATATATATTTTCAATGTTCGTTATGTTAACAGAAGATAATAGTGAACAAGGCAGAATCATGCATACAGCCAAGGACAGGATATGCCCCTTTCTTCGTGTAAGCCACCTGGAAAGTGCTATTGGAAGAGGGGATATGGCCACTGGAACAGGGGACGACAATGACCTCAACTCTCTCAAAGTTACCTCTTTTGGTCCTATGGGTAGGCCTGTAAATGGGTCGGGTCATCCAAACCCAACCTGTTAAGCTAACAGGTTATTCGAACCCGACCCGTTAAGCTAACAAGTCATCTGTTTCACCCATTAACACTCATTAACAATTATTATTATTTTATTTTTTTGCATAGAGTTTATTTTTTGTTGTTAAGACTTGATTGAAATTACTAAAACATCTTCAACTAACAGGTACTAACGGGTTGACCCAAAGTGACTTATTATTTAACGGGTTGTTAACGGGTTCACCCGTTAACAACCCAACCCGTTAAGCATCCATCCAAATACTAATATTAACGGGTCGGGTCGAGTCGGGTCAAGTCCAAAATGCCAGGTCTACCTACGGGTATGATTGACTAAACTGTCAATTTCTCCCCTAAATTTTAACCTAGCTTTCGATTTCCCCCTTAAACTTTTTAGTTGAAAATTTTTAGTGTTCAAACTAATTTTTTTGGCCGATTCCCCCTACCATTAGTTTTTTATTCATTACATCCAAATTTATGTTAAATAAAAGCATGTGCACAACATGTGAGAATAGTTCGATCACTACATTTTTTAAAATAATTGAAAATCCTAAATTTCCTAAAATGTCGACCTCTACAAATCTATATGGTTCTATATCTTTTGTGTCTGAAAGTCTAGCGAAGTAACGCTTTTGTCCCTAAAGAAGAGTCACGTAGTGTGCATGTGATAAGAGTTAATGTTTATTTTGACGGAATCTAAGGAAAACTAACGGTAGGGGAGAATCAGCCAAAAAAATTAGCTTAAGCCTTAAATTTCCAATGAAAAAGTTTAGGGGAAAATCGAAAGCTGAATGAAAGTTCAGGGGAAGATTGACGGTTTATCCGGGTATTAAATCCCCTCAAAGTTTTCTCATTGGAGAGTTTTCTGGCCAACGCGTGTTATAGACGCCGCAATGAGATAACTTCGAGAGAGTTATTTCGGTCACTGTTGTATGGCAAAACTTTTTAAGCATTGTAATGGGATCCAGCTTCTACAGCAGCAGTTGCCCATAAGAATGAAATTCAGAGCAAACTTATTACAAAAGCAACATATCATCGAGAAAATACTACCCATGCCAACGCACACAATCACAATCCCGAAAGTCTTTCGTAGAATTCATGTTTGAGAGTGCTTTCTATGGTGTCATGTGTGTTCCCAGATTCTTCATAACGCTTTTCAAATATTCAAATGAAATCGAGAAAAATAATTTTGGGGCTGGAAAAGGTTTCTCAGAGACAGACCAAAAGAGAAAATGTTCCCAACGAATCAAGTCGAAGCGTGCTCTCCATTGTTACAATGTATTTCCAACGAGAATCATGATCCTTGAAACAATGAATCACGAATCCAAAAGAATCAGAAACCATGTAAGCATGTAATGAATGATACACTCAACTGAGTCCACAAGTAATACACTTTCAACTCACGGACATGTTAACCATACAAACCAGAACGTGAAACCGTGTATGGTAAATAGCATTTAAGATATCGGAAGGAACACAGCCAATCAGCAGACTGATTGGATCGAAGATGTCATTGTTTACAACTGAAGCATTGCATACACATTGGTAAGTTTTAGTTCCAGGAAGACAACTCTTTTCAGACAGATGCAAATTATTTTTCAACCACCGTGGTGATCAAATTTCGACACATCACATGAGCAGAAACAAAATTACGTTCAAACAGTTCATGCAAAGAGAAAAAGCTGCTGCAAAAGAGACTTACGAAGCCATTGGATGGTTATAGATGTACTCAATGGCCAGATTAGCGGAGTCAATCCTAACAGCTTCCAAATCTGGGATCTCTAGCTTGAACTCTTCTTCTAGAGCAATAACAATCTCCACATTATCCAAGCTATCCAAGCCCAAATCCTTCTGAAAATTTACATCAGGAGTCACCTGCCAAAAATTGACAGGAAAATAGGTTCTCCTAGTAAATTTCAGCCAAAAAAATAATTATTTGATAATTGATAACGAAAGAAAAAGACATTCTGAAAGGGAGAAACAAAGGTATACTTATTGAATGAGGCAGACGAAAACATCAAAACAGAAGGAAGATGAGCAATCGTGCCATTGCCCTTATGAGGTTTTTAACATAATACCTAAGCACTAAAACAGATCCCACAAGTACAGTTTTAGATTCTTAACCACTACATCCTACATTTTGTTAATGATTGTTACATAAAAATACCGAAGCAGCCACCATGCACATTCTCAATCTAGATTCCGTAAAGCGTCTCATTCATAACCCACTTTTCCCAGTAAACCCAAAACCTTTCAGATCTTGGCTAATAGTAACAAAGGACCAAAGTGTATCATCATCTTAAGTTTTATCATGGCCGGTCTCTCACCATCTGTCCTATGCGGTTCTTATAGCCCAATCAGCCTCAGACCTGTGAGCTCAAAATATGTCAAAAGGTCATAGTTACAACCATGTGACCTTTACTCGGAAGATTTGCAAAAGAAATCTCACCAACCCGTGCAAGATCAACGAAAAGATAGTACAATATCAGCATTCGATGCCAAGAAAATGTGCATTATATCCTCCAAAAATCAGTATAAAAATTTGTTTTCTTCCTCTTGCTTTCTCACATCAGCTAAATATAAGAGTACAGGTTCAAGTTCTACCCACGAGTCCACGACTTCTTATCGAAGTCCCAAATTAACATCAAACACAAAAACAGAAGAATAGAGCGTGTTTAAGCAAACAAACTACGAATTCAGGCCAAAATTACTCCAACATTTCTATCTACATTGTACAGATGCATGAGCACTAAGATCCACAAAAATCTAGATAATTCACATGCCCGTAAAAGGCCTAAGATTAAACAAACAAACATAAAATAGATCCAAAATCTCATTTAATTATCTTCTCTTCTGGCATTATTTCATAAATTGGAACCCAAAATCGGACCTAAATTATTTCAAAAATTCATTGGGGAAATTGAGCTGAAATAGGAAATTGACTGAAACAACACTAACTACAATTCACCAAAGATAAACTGAAATCGAAGTAATCTAGCAATCAATAGCTCTAATTACCCTTTTGGTTTCCGAGAAAACCGAAGAAAAATAAAAACAAAAATTGGGATTCGGATTCGGATTTGTGATATAATGTTTACATTTTCCCTGGAAACAAACAGAAAGTAGAGATGGAAAAAAGGCTAACCGTGGAAGGATCGACTTTGGGGAAGCTCTTGACAACGGAGAGGACTCTGTCGGTGACCTCGCTTTTGGTCAGATGATCGTCGCCGTGCGATGACATCCACCGGAGAGAAGGTGAGGTCCATTTGCCTCCGGTTAGGGTTAGGGCTGGGTTTAGGGTTTGTACCGGAACTCGCACGTGCTGCAGTACGGCTGCTCTCAGCGCCATCTCTCTACCTTCTCTGCTCTTGCGGTAAACTCTCCCCGAGTCTTTTGGTTGCTGTTGGGAAATGGCATAGCAAACAACAGCTTAGTAGTCACGTGTTTGGGGCGTGATATCATTTTCTTGAGAGTAAGATTCTCTCTTTTTGTTCTCTCCCATTTCCTTCCTTCTTATTTGAACAATCACAATTAAATCACATCAACATATTATATTAATTTTATATAGAAAAGAAAAAGACAAAATAAAGAATGTGAGAGAAGAGGAGGGAAGGGGATGGAAAGAGGATGGGAGAAAATCCTAATCCTTTTCTTGAACTTATTTTCCCTTTTTGTTTTTTTCACCATATGTTGATGTGATGACACACTAATCCTCATTGTTGAAACCAAATTTGCACATATCTGCGGGCGGAGGTGAAATCCAATCAGACTAGCCCATATTCTTCGGTGAAGGGAGAATGAGGTTGATTGGGGGTGTGGTTGAATTCGGAAAGGACTACCTACATATCTTCGGGGAGGAAAATCAAACCACGGGTGTAGTTCTATGAAAGAATGGTGAGAACCATCCTTGACGAATAGCTTATGGTAAGGCGTTGGGAAATGAGTTCTCCATGGACGTGTCTACGTGTAGACAGCGATGTAAGGACCTCTGTTAAGCACACTACTACATTGAACAGTTACAACAACGGCCTTAGCAAAAAAGATTTTCGTCGCCCAACAATTGCACGATGAAAGCTTCGTCGCCATCTTATCATCACGCAAAGCTCATGAAGTTAGGGTTTGCGTGACGAATGTTTTCATCGCACTAAGTTTTAAGTGACGAAGCACCTTTGTAGCGCAATCTTTCTCACCAAGAAGGATAATTTGTAGCACTAAGTTTCAAGGGACGAAGGACTTCATGGCGCAATATTTAACACCGTGAAGGGTTGTTCGTCGCACTAAGTTTTGCGAGACAAATACTTCGTGGCACAATGTTTAACACCAAGAAGTTTTATTCACCACGCAAGATTTAACACCACAAAATTTGTAGTTGCCTTGAAGTAATGCCTACGAAAGCATTTCCTTGGGTGGTACTGCGCGACAAACGCTTTCGTACTGTTTGAACACATTAGGGCAAGGACATTTTATCATTTTTGAGTAATTTAAAAATTATTAAATTGTAAGTAATTTGTCATTGTGAGGTTTGTGTGACGAACTGTTTCGTTTCTCTTACTTTAGTGCGACGAAGTAATTTCGTCACGCAAAAGTTTTTTTTTTTTTTTTCAATTGCTTAGAATTTATTTTTTTTTAAATAGTTCATATTTAAATTAAATTAGTATAATTAGAATAAAAACAGTAATTGAAGGAAAAAATAATTTTATATCAAATAAATAAGAAACTGTACGGAAACGAAGGAAAAATTTAAAAATCAGAACACAGAAAAAAATATATAAAATAAAATAAAATACACTACAATTCAAAATGGTCCAGGCCAACTCTAGCCGCAGTGGGCTCTGTATGTGCTGGGTTGAGGGGCTACTGGGAGGTCTAAGGTGCATGAGAAGGAGGACCAGCTGGCGATGGAAACAGGAAACTGGATCATCCAGCCGTCAGTGTTGCGACCCATCCCGTAGTTATGTTAGAAGAGCAGGCAACCATCTAACGAAGGCCCATTCCCTGGTACAACTCCCTAGGCCTACGACCAAGACTCTAATCGAGTATATAATAGTTAATTTTCTGGATTTATAAGTAATTTACACGAGATAAAAGAATTTTTTGTTCACCTTTGACATAAATAATTAGGGGTGGAATTTTTTCCCGAAAATCTCGAACCGTCTGGAAATTTGACCGAAAAATGCCCGAACCGAATTTCCCGAAACCGAACTTGTCCCGAAACTTTTGGTTTGGGATTCGGCCACAGCTTTGAAAGCGTTCAGTAATCCTGAATCGAACCGAATATTATATTTATTTATTTATTTATTTTTAATTAGAAATTACTTGGACCGTTGGATTGGTTAAGATCTAATCCAATCGTCCATGGAGTTAGGTCATTTGTGGTTTCTCAGTTGCTCACTCTCACAATCTCACACTTAATATCCCGAAGCTGCTCGTGCTCCCGCCGCTCCGCTGCTCCATCCACTTCAACGGTGCTCATTCAGCCAGCCACACACACAGAGACGCAGACGCAGGAAAAGGCGAATCCGACACCAATCGAGTCCCAAAATCTAGGTAAGGGTTTCTGATTTTCACTGGGGTTTTGTTCTTTAGTGCTTAGGGTTAAATTTCATGTTGATTAACTTGATTTTCACTAGGGGTTTGTCAAATGTGTAGGGTTTGAGGATTGTGGGTTTCGAAATAGGGTGGGTAAGTGCAGGACCTGCATGTAAGATGTCTAAGGGACTGTGGGTTTCGAATTAGGGTGGGTAAGTGCAGGGCTTTGCAATAAAAGCTGCATCATATATTGTTTTATTTTATGTACTCGCTGTTTTTAAGTACCCTTAAACCCAAATTTATCTCAACATACGGAAAATCAGTTTCGCCTAAACAATTGTGAAACTATTGGAGATCTTTTTCATAAATTTGACTATGCTCTGCATGCTTATTGAGTTATTTCATTCCAAACTATAACTAAAATAGTTTTATTCTTATGACAAACAAGTTATTTCTCAATCCGTTTGAAGTTTGAACACTAGAAAACCACTTTGAAATCTTTTTTTTTAAAAAAAAAAAAAAACCAAAAAACCACTTAAAAATCTTTTTCAAAAGAAAAAACCAACATACATCTTCAGTGTAATATCTAAAAGAAAGTGTGAGTTCCCTACTGCATTTGTTACTGTTTTATCAAAGCATTTTCATCAAAGCACGTCGTAGCTATTCAGCTTATTCTCCTATTGCCAACTGTGCAGCATGTTAGTTTCCTACTGCATTTGTTTGATATACATGTGTTTATGGATCAGTTTATGGGATGTGCACTCTGTCAGTTTATAGATCAGAGATAAATATGTGTTTGATATATATATGTGTTTATGGATCAATTTATGGAATGTGCCCTCTATCAGTTTATGGATCAATTTATGGTTGTGATATATATGCGTTTGATCAGTATATGGATATATGAATATTATATATATGCTGAACTGTGGTTGTAATATATTATTGTGAAATGCCATCTCCTCCACCACCTCAAGTTCAATGCTGCCCATCACTACCTCGTGACCACCCATTTCAAGAGCATCTACACCAACACAAATGAGGGTTCAATTATCAACAAGAGGAAGGCGTCCACCATCAACGGCAACGAGTCATTCATCAACAAGGGGAAGGGGCCGAAGGGGCGAAAGGGAATGAACTTACTTAAGCTTCATTTTGGTTGCATGCACTTTTTTGCTTATAAAATATGTTTTGCTTTTGGTTTGTAACATAATCTAAATTCATTCGGAAGTTTGGTTTGTAAAGCTTAACTTATTTCATTTTGGTTGCATGCACTTTTAATTAACTAGTTTGGTAGACAAATGTGAACTTAAGCTTAACTTGATAGTTGTTGCTTGCTTGGTATGAAAATTGAAATTATGAGATGAAATTATGGTGAACTTTGATTGAATTGAATTTATTTATGTGATTGTGAAACTGAAACATGTGGGCTGTGTGGGTAGTGGGCTGCAAGCTTGCAATTGTTAATTTTTTTTTTTCTTGAAAAAATGGGTGGCCTTACTTGTTAAAGAACTTAAAATTGTAAAAAGTTTAAAAAGCCCAACATTTTGGGCTTCAAGGCCTAATCCCGAAGTTTCCCGAAAATCCCAAAACACTTTCGGGAATCCCGAATTTCGGGAAATGAATAGTTTCGGTTCGGTTTTGGAATATAAAATCCTATCCCGAAATGTTTTTGATTCGGATTAGGGGTTTCTGTTCAGGATCTCGAGCCGAACCAATTTCACTATAAATAATTTCCTTTTCGTGGTAAAGCCTCCTCAAACCAATTTCACGCGCAAAATATAGTCTCTTTCTATCTCTCTCTCTCTGCCAGCGGGTCATCGCGCTATAAATACGCATCCAACCGAAAATCAAGGGAAGGAAGCGAATTTCGAACGAGGCTCCGAGATCTCGATCTGTCCGATAAATCTCCGGCGAGATCTCGACCTTGAACCCGATCCGATCCTCATAGATCCGAAATCGCCATGGCTCCCGTTTCGGCTCTCGCCAAGTACAAGCTCGTCTTCCTGGGGGATCAGTCCGTCGGGAAAACCAGCATCATCACTCGCTTCATGTACGACAAGTTCGACAATACCTATCAGGTAATCGCATCATTCCCTCTCCAAATCTTCTGCAATTTCTGTGCCATCTTTCGATTCTTCGAGCTTTTGCTGTTTCATTTCTGTCAACATTTGCTATGAACTGCAACAATGTCTTGGATTGATTGATGGTAGGCTTCTAGATTGCAATTGCTTTCGTTTACAGTGTTAGTGTTCAAACGAACTGCTGTGGGCTGTGATTGCTGTCAAATTTCGAATGCTTTCGTGTGTCGAAAATTGCGTTTTGTAATTGTCAAATTTGTGAATAATGCCGGTTTGGTTTGTGGGGATCATGGGCTGGACTGCCATTATAATCCAAAAGCTGGTTGCTGTGTGGCGGAAATGTGACTTGTAGCTTTTGAAAATCGTTTTGGGACTGATGTGGTGCCTTATGTGATTGCGGCGGGACTGTGTCTGCCAACTGCTTTAGTACACTAGGGCAATTTTCTTTTATCCGAAATATGTTACTTTTAATACGAGAGGAGATTTATGTAAAAGGAGGGAGTTACTTGGATTACTGCGTTTGAAAGCGAATAAGTAAAAGAGAATGAGTGGGAGCTGAATTTTTTTAATTAACTCGATTTGTAACAGGTTGTAAAAATTTTTAGAAATAGAAGTATGTTATGATAATCTTCTTTTTCACTTTGGACTGGGGAAGAAGATTTAAGAAATTCTTAGGACTTCTTCAAATTATGCGACAGTAAAGACTAACCTTTCATTGATCGGTATGGGTTGGGGATGAGATCAAAAATAAAAGTTGAGGCAGGGAACGATTAGGATGTGGGTTGTTTGGGGAAAGGGGATCAATTGTGATCTAGGTGTGGGGAGGGTAGGGGGTATCATTCTCCGCAATAGGATCCTCAAATAAGGACCTATTTCTTGTATATTAATGTATTTAGCTCTTCGTATCTAATCTAACAGCTGAGAAACATATCAATATCAAAAAACTTTATGAGAGAATATATATGCAAATCTACACTTATGTTACGGAAATGCATGTCAGTTGTTAGATCAAATAGGTTGGTTGAGATGTGTGTCTATGATTTGGGTCCTTATTAGATATATCAATCATATGTATAATGCCTGAAATACAGCTCCTTATTTAAAACACTTCTTTGTTATTTGTGTACGTATATTGTTCATCTCTTTTAGTAACTGCTCAGATAACCTGATTACCATTCATTTCTTCATTGTTCTCATTTTGGTTGGGTTCTCAGAATCTTTATACATAAAATGTCATTTGTCTTACTTAAATTTCTTCCACTGTACAGATATCTACCCTCAATATTTAACCTACATGTTCTGAATTATTTGTTTAAGTTTTCTTTTTCTTAGCTCATGTGTTTATTTGTTGCGACCAGGCTACCATCGGCATTGATTTTCTGTCAAAGACAATGTATCTTGAAGATCGAACTGTTCGATTGCAGCTCTGGTTAGTCTTTATCCCTTTATTTAGTTTTTGGTCCTGTAGATGTTATAACTCCCTTTTTCACGTATAAGGTTAAATTTCTTATTGACATGATCTTGCTCAGCATTCTCATTCCATGATGTAATGTTAAATGATGGTTATTAGGCTTCTTTTATAAAAGATATTGTCCCTTGGCACTCACTAGTACTCATATTAAAATGTTCTCAATTTATGCACTCGAGGCACATTTCACACACCATTTTTTTAACCTTCGCTCTGAAGCTGTGGGATTGTTTTATATTTTTCTCAGTGATTAGCAGGGTTTCGTACTTAAGTCATCCTAGAACAATGATTGGCATTGCGGGAATATTTTTTATCTCGTGATACATAAAACCTTAGAAATTTTGAACAGGGATACTGCTGGGCAGGAAAGGTTCAGGAGTCTCATTCCTAGCTACATCAGGGATTCCTCTGTGGCTGTCATTGTATATGATGTTGCAAGTATGATCTCTCTCTCTCTCTCTCTCTCACGAAAGTAACTTTGTTGAAGTTGAAGTTTATATCATTTTAATTAAATAACTGGGACTTTATGTTTTATGTTTGAAGATGAATTTAACTAAATATTTTTGGCTCATTCTTATGGTGTAGGCAGACAATCATTCCTAAACACTTCCAAGTGGATTGAAGAGGTTCGCACTGAGCGGGGAAGTGATGTTATCATTGTACTTGTTGGAAACAAAACAGATCTTGTAGACAAAAGGTAGTTATTTGCTTTCTTCTCTGCAGTAAGTTATAAAGAAAGTTGATACTTGTGTTTTCTACTGCAATTTCACTTTTTAGTTCGGTAGTCATGTGCATGTGGTCTTCATGGCAATGATTACGTGTGCATTTATTGCAACATTTCCATCCTATTACTTCATTTGCATGAGAAGATGATTTTTATCAAGCTGTGCGGATGTTCATTTGTAAAATATGGAGAATACGTGTTTTCTACTGTAGATGGGAACAAAGGGGTGATACTACAAGTTTTCCCCTCAGTTGTATCAATTAGGCTAGCCTCTTGCATCTGATTTTTCTTGTCACTTATGGTGCTCATATTTGGGTTGTATTGTGGACGGATGGACAGGCAAGTTTCTATAGAGGAAGGAGAAGCCAAAGCTCGTGACCTCAATGTTATGTTTATCGAGACCAGTGCCAAGGCTGGCTTCAATATCAAGGTAAGCTACATTTCTGCTCAGCGAGTTGTATCATATTCCTGTAATGCCTTAACGCATATGTTTGCGCTACCTGTTGAGTACTTGATCTGTACATTGGATTTATTTTCTCTTAATCCCACTACAGGCGCTGTTTCGGAAGATTGCAGCAGCTTTACCTGGAATGGAAACACTTTCTTCAACGAAGCAGGAGGACATGGTTGACGTGAACCTGAAGTCTTCGAATGCAAATTCATCACAGTCACAGGCACAGTCAGGCGGGTGCGCTTGTTAATTTTACCCCGTTACTTATATGCTCTGCTTTGATCCCACAATCTGTAAAGATTAGTTACTGTCCCAGTCGTCCCGCCATTTTGTAGCATTTGAAGTTGTGTTTGGTTGATTGTTAAAGGAAGTGTACACTGTTTGCTTGGCTGAGCTTAGAATATCAGACTTTCAGATTTTCAGTTAATAGTAATTAAAGGAAACATTTACATTTTTTTTCTGCAAACTAATTTTAATAAATTCCTATGGTTGTATTCTACGGGTATTTCGGATATTAAAGTGTGGCATTGGTAGGAAACCTCTCAACTATTGTGTATTGTACAATTATTAATACTAGCCTATTGGCATGCGCTCGAACTGATTACCTTTCTTTGTTTATTATGGGTTTATAATTTGTTTTGTAACGAATATAGAGAAATAAAAACAAAAGTCAAAATAGTTATAATTTATAATTTATTCTCTTGAATTATTATTATTATTATTTTATTTTATAAATTGATATTAAATGGGTCACTTTGTATTATGATCCAGTGGTATTCTTCTTTAGTTGTAATTGAGAGGTCTTAGGTTTGATCCTTGATAAAGGTAAATTTGAATTAAATTATTGCAAGCTAATTGTGAGATCAAGTTCATCTCTTCTCTCAGTATCGATAATATTGTTTGTTTAAAAAGAAAAAAAAATATGGGAAATTTATTTAAACCCATGTAATTTCTTTTTACACTTAACTTAAAATTTTAAATGTTAATTGTCTATTTTACCTTATTGCATATTACTATTAAGTACAAAATGAAATTAATAATAAAACTCAAATTTATCAATAAACCCAAACACTATAATTAAACCCTAAGATCACTTTTTATTTATCCTACACTCATTCTGGCTAAAATCTTAATAACTCTCATAGAGAAAATAAGTTTTTTTTTATTGATGGATGGTGATTTTGAAGTTTTGAATCTTCCAACCAAGTTATGACTCAATTTATGAATTTTTTGTTCGTTTGATTTCAACTTTTTAGAGTTTAGAAGATGAGTATTTTGGTTTTAATTTTTTTTTTTTCAATCAATCTTGCATAGTTTGCTTCTTCTGCTTTTATATTATTATTATTATTATTATTTTTCTTCTCTGTCGGTGTAGTCTAACTACACCCCAAAATCATGGCATCAATGTAGCTATTGGTGCAAATAGTATTGCCTAAAAGTCCTAATACAAAGACTGCACCGTGAAAAAACCAAAAAGACTTCCAGAACTGCCAAGGTTTGTTTCAAGATTTGTGAGAGATGGCATTTTTCCTTGAAGTGCATGAATCTAGGGAAAGTCCATATACATCATAAAATCCATCAACAACCTTCTCCTCATAGTGTAGTGCATTGAACTCCTGGAATGAATACGAGAATCCAATCCAAATCAAGATGAGTTAAAAAGCAAGCAACATCTCTTTATAGTAGTATATACAAGCAAAAAATAGAGTTAAAAATTAAATGGATGTACAAATAATAGGAGTTTTAACGAAAAGCTTACGGTACTGTTTATTTTAACGAAAACCCACATTTTTACACTAAAAAATCAATCTTGGTACTGTTCATTTTACATTTTATTTTGTCTTTATCATTAAAACTCAAAGTTTTCAAGTCATTTTCATTAGTTTTCCTAAAAATAAATCCACACATTGAATTAGGTTTATAGGTGTATATTAGGTAGTAAATTAGGGTTTAAAGAGATATTAATAATTTAGTTCAAAATCAAATGGGTGCGTAAGTAAGAGGTTTTAGGTTTGAATCTCGTGGTTGCGAATTTGATATCAAATCAGTTTATCCATTATATGGCTTAACCAAACTCTCACTCCTCTTCATGTAAAAATATCAATGTACTCAAAAAAAAAAAAAAAAAAAGTTGTTTTGTGATGAAATAATTTACATTAAAGCAGTTGGTTGGGCTAAGCCACAAATACTATAATTGGGCCAACACAAGGCTAGCAAGAAGCCAGTATCCAGAACGTGACCAAAATTTCCGCCTAATTCCAAATCATTAGTCACAGTTGGTGATGTCGTGCCACATGGCAAATGCCATCGGTCCCTCCGCCGTGCCAGTCATAGATTGGTCTGGTGGATTCACGAACACGCGATCCACTTGTACCTCTTCTCTAACTCCTCAGTCCTCCAAATCTCTCTGTCTTCTGCTTTTCTCTTGGCCGCTCAGATATTTCATGGATTTACACGCGGCAGATTCTGATTGGTGGACGGGTATGTGGTAACACAAATTGTGTGGGGTAGCTTTTAATCGAAGCACGATTCTATTTTTCGCCACCGTTTTCGAAACAACTCTAAATTCCAATCCTTGAAGAAGGCCAAAGCAGCAAAATTTAAATATAAAATAAAAGAAATTTGTGGAATTTTGTGTGATTAAGAACAATAAAATCCCACTTAAAATCCCACTTAAAATCCTCTTTATCCCAATCTGAAGTTCTTAACGATAATAATAACACTGCCCCGCCCATTACTGCCGCTCTCCCTCAACCACTTCAAAAAGTCCTTCATTCGCTCACGCTAACGCCAACCCTTACTAAGCAAACATGGCCATGCCAGGTCTCTCTCTCTCTCTCTCTCTCTCTCTCTCTCTCTCTGTGTCTAGTTCTTGGGTTGTGAAGATTAATGGAGAAATTAGATATGGGTTTTGTTTATTTTGTTTAATATGTTAATGGAGAAATTCGATATGGGTTTTGGTTATTTCATTGGAATAATCAAAACCTGAGGCTTCGTTTGGTTTGCTGACCAACTGTATGTATGAGAAGAAGAACGGAATATGATGCAAAGCTTCAATTTTGGGCACTCAAATATATTGTTTTTCTTTCTCCGGTTACAGACAATCACTCACATGAAAATTCCAATTGGGTTTCGGATTTCGGCTTCTTTTTTTGACAAATTAGTTCTTTTAATTCATTTATTAATTTTTCTTTGCTTCTGGTGATTAACTGATTATTGTATGATTTTAGCTGGTTTTTTTTTTTGTTTGTATCTGTTATGTTTTTAGCTGGTTATTTAAGCATGTATTTGTCACATGATTCACCACTTAAATGTTAACTTGATTGAAATATATGCCATATGAAAGTCTGGATCTTTTCAATGTTTAATTTTGATTACTGTTTGGCCTCCGCCTCGTTTGAATTTGCAGCTTCAGGCAAGCTTATGAATGAAGTATTGTTAGTGCTGGCTTGTGCATGCATGCTTATTAAGTATCCCATTGTATCCGTTCATCAAAAGCTCCCGGGCATTTGACGAATGGAAAGAAGTGGTGACCGTAGAAACACCTTTTATTCCGTTTTGAATCTTAGAATCACCGTCATTTGAAAAGGAACGTGTTCCATGTTTGCAGCTTGTGATTTATTTTGCCAACCTGATAGAAGCTAGCTTCTATATGCTTTTGTAATTGTAAGAAACGAGAATGCGTGTATGGAAATGAGAGTGTATGTTACCAGCCTCTCGACCAAAAATTTGTATCCAAATTCTGGCTCTGGCATTTACCTGGTCTATACCACACCTTGAATTGCAGGGGAAATCACTGCATAGATGCCGTGTTTTCTGATTTCATGTTTCATGACTCTCCTGTTTGAAATGCTTTAGTTTCTTTCGGTGAACCTATAACCTTAATAATTTGTTTACATGTGTGTGTATTTAAATACAGATAGCCAAGAATCCATCTTACCCAAAGAAGAAACTGTGATTGAACAAACACTATTTGTTAAACTTGGTCGTTGGCAATGGTGGTTTCTGGTGGTACTCAACGTCTTCTTCCTAATTGTGGGGCAGACTGCTGCTGTTTTACTTGGAAGATTCTATTATGACCAGGGTGGTAATAGTAAGTGGTTGGCTACTCTTGTCCAAACTGCAGCCTTCCCAGTCCTTTTCATCCCGCTTTATTTTCTTCCTTCATCCAAAGATCAAGCAACTTCTTCAAACCCACCTTCCATTAAAGTTCTTGCCTTGGTTTACTTCTCTATTGGAGTGCTCTTAGCTGGTGACAACATGATGTACTCTGTCGGACTCTTGTACCTATCTGCCTCTACTTACTCCCTCATATGCGCAACTCAATTAGCTTTTAATGCTGTTTTCTCGTACTTCATCAACTCTCAGAAGTTCACAATGCTGATTCTTAATTCAGTGATTATCGTGTCATTCTCAGCAGCTCTTATTGCTGTTAATGATGATTCCGGAGGACCAACTGGAGTATCAAAGGGGAAATATATCCTTGGCTTCATCTGTACCATTGGAGCTTCTGCATTGTACTCTCTTTTGCTTTCCCTCATGCAGCTTTCTTTCCAAAAGGTTTTAAAAAGGGAAACGTTTTCTGTGGTTTTGGAGATGCAAATCTATACAGCTCTGGTTGCTAGTTGTGCTGCAACTGTAGGTCTTTTTGCAAGTGGGGAATGGAGGAGTTTACATGGGGAAATGGTAAACTATGGCAAGGGACGAGTTTCTTACGTGATGACCTTAGTTTGGACAGCTGTGGCTTGGCAAGTTTGTTCTGTTGGTGTCGTGGGCTTAATTTTCGTGGTGTCTTCTCTCTTCTCCAATGTAATTAGTACTCTCTCTTTGGCTGTTACTCCTATAGCCGCTGTGATAATCTTCCATGACAAGATGAACGGTGTCAAGGTAATTGCTATGCTTCTGGCTCTTTGGGGTTTCGCCTCTTATGTTTATCAGAACTATCTTGATGACTCTAAAGCAAGAAGAAGACAAGCTGATGCTAGGGAACGACAAAATGATTCCTCTATTTAAAGTTTTGTTCATATCAGTGACGTTTTTAGTATTCGATCAATGCTATTCTCACATTTAAGCATATTGTTTATAGTTCTTTTGTTGCTCAGTAAGATTTATGATTCACGGTTGTCTAACTTGTACAAGTTGTCAAATAGATAAACTATGACAGAAACTATCAGGGGATGTAGTTAGTCTTGTGTCATAGGTAATGTTGATTTCGACCCTCTTATATTCTATCACATTTGAATTGCACTGTGTAAAGTAGTCCTTTGATCCCGGAGATTAGGAGTCAAATTTAGATGTCTACCTTCTAAACAGTTTTATAGGGACCTTACATGATCTGGATGTGAATAATCTGCGGCAGTGCTAACGATGACTTGTGTGAATAACCTGCATTAGGATTGCCACAAGTTAATGATTATTACGTTATGCAGCCTATTCTCGGATTAGGCGAAAATCCGTTATTCGTTTGAGCTGCATTAGGAAGAAAACACCAAGAGAGAAGCAAGCACAGCCAGCAACATCCAGCCAAGCATAATAAGAGCTCAAAGAAAACTTGGCTGGATGTTGCTGCCTGTGCTTTTGGCAATGCAGAACTAAAGATAACAGGAATGTGAAAGAGAAGTAGGTAGGAAAAGAATGGATTCAAAGGGGTGCTACCATCCTTCATCCGCTCTTCTTTACCTGTCATTTCTACTGTGTATTACTACTCTAACTCGTCAATGAAAAAAGTGAAAACTAAGAGCAAAATGATTATCGAATGAGCCTTGGTTAATTCGTTCTGACATTTTAAAACTCATTAGAGTGCTTAGGCATTTCATCGTAACAACGTACCTCATCAATCTCTTGTTAGATAAAAATAAGTGCAACAAGCGAGTAATAATGGTCATGCAAAGACCTTTGTATGCAGTATTTGCAGATGAGAGTTGATCTTCACACACCTTAGTAGTTACTGCAGTATTAGCCTCTAACTGAAATGGTTGTTCTTGTACGGTGCATGAATGACAATGAATTGTTATAATAGGTGTCGATCTCTACGGTTATGTTCGGATGAGGGTTTTAGGAGACCAAGGGGATCTGATGTCAATCTATGAAGAGATGGACCATAAAATGTAACATTCAGGGGATCAGAGAAACCTTCCATGAGCATTACAAAATAAAAAATAAAAAAATAAAAATTAATATGAATTGCCTGAACTATTTACTATAGGGGTGGAGATGCACTTGAGCAGTTACTGTTCATTGTAGGTGGTTACATTCACTAAGGTGTTGCCTATAGCCTGGGGGCCTATCAACGCTGGAATTGTTCTAATGCTCATGTAGGGTTTCTCCAATCCTCTCCATGTTACCTTTTTATGGTCAATTTCTTCGTAGTTTGACATCAATCTTTTGAGTCTTCTAAAATCCTCATCCAAACACACCTGTAACCCTACAATTAACAGTTGCGAATAATGGAAATGGAATTCAAATTATGAACACTTCCACTAATTTATATCATAGACTAATGAAGATGGGCTAAATCTATCCACTCAATATGCAAAATTTACATATTAGAATGATTTTCACACAAGCTTTTTTAACTCTCACGCACTTCTCTTTATTTTTTACCGTCAAATTGAATAAATCAAACAATAATGATGAACACGAATAAACAAGAGTGTGAAAGATCGAAAAAAAGTAAACATATTTAATTAACCTATGCAGTGATCCCTATGCCTATCTGTAAACATCTAAAAAATAATTAGTACTTAAGTACTATGATTTGGATCCCATCCGAATCCAAATTGTGGGGATCCTAGAGATCCTCACATTTTAGCCATTCATCGTGCATCGTGCAGTAAGAAATCATTTGACTTTTTTTATTTAAAATTAAACACAAATAGTACCTGCCGAAAACTAGTCTCATGATGTACGATGAACAGTTAGGATGTGGGGATCCCTAGGATCCCCACAAAGTGGATTCGGAGAGGATCCTCTTCCTAAGTACTTGTTGAAAACTGAAATAGAAAGGAATGAAGTTAACCAAAAAATGTAGAAGCCTTGAGTGATGAATGATTCTTAGGATAAGTCACGGATTAAGTCGCTCTCTTTAAGACGTATCACAACTCTGCCTAAAGTGTGCAAGTAGTTCACAAACACCACGTCGTTCCCTGGATAAATAGCCCATAACCTTCTTCTTCTTATAAGGTTCTTCCTTGCACAACGGAGGATTCTTCGAACTTACACCCGTTCAATATGTTGCTAACCAAACTCAATATTAGAAAGTATATGTATTATTTTTGTCGCATCTTTTTCAATGAATCCTGCACTGCTATATATACTTATAGAAGAAAGAAACGTTGAGGGTTTGAGAGATTAAGGGCTTGAAAGCAGGACAAAATCAAAACGTAAAGTAAAATTCAAAACTAAAAAAAAAAAAAAAGGGTTTGATTATGTATAATGACATAATCTTCTTCCTATACAGAGAAGGAATCATATTTGACAGGAGGTAACTCCTTATCCAATTGATAAAGCCAAAATCAGTTGACTGTTATGTATATAATATTGGTAATAAAGCAAAACATAAATATATTTAAATATTTAAATAAAAACATATTTACTCCAACAATCTCCCACTTGTTTTTGTTTAAAGCTATATATCAAGCAACATATCATAAAGCTATGCATAAGTAAAGGTGTTTCTCAACTTGAACGTGTACATAGTGTTAGTGATCTAGATTATACTAGAGTAATTTATAGTTTTGAACTCTATCTCTAACAACACCACACACATAACTTTATTAAGGTGAAGCTCAAAAAGTCAACACATTACGGCCATGTGCTTGTATCCCAGTACAGTGAACGCTCAGAAACTTGCCTAAGATTTCATAGGAAGCGGCCTCACTTCCACATTCACATAAGTAAGACTATGAAGGATATTCTTGCAACTAGATATCCCACTCAACATTGAGTATAGACCTCACTAAGAGATAAAAAAAATCTCAACGTAAAAATGCTTCAGGATGTCATGCTTCTTAGGGATGGACGTGGAATAATATTCCAAATCAAAATTAGCAGACTTCACTCATATCACATGCGACTTGTTATTACCCTTTGAACCTATTTCTTGGCATCTCCAGTCTATAGGTTGGGTTGCTATAAAAAATGACTCAATTTTCTAAGGGCTTTAGTCCTATCCCTTTCGAGGTTTTCCAAACCTTTTTTCGTACTAGTATTTTCCTCAAAGGATCAGCCAAGTTTTCTTCAGACCGTGTATGATCCACTCTTACAACTCTATTAGAGAGATAATCTCTTACAGTGTTATGCTTACGACGTATTTGTCGTTTTTTCTCGTTATAATAACGGTTTTGCACTTGAGCTATTGCCACTGTGCCATCACAATGAATCAAAACTGCTAGAATCGGTTTCTCCCATAAAGGGATATCTAACAGTAAGTTTCTCAACCATCCTGCTTCTTCATTTGTCGTAGCTAGCGCTATTAATTCTGACTCCATAGTAGACTGAGCCAAGATAGTCAGTTTCTTACACTTCCATGACACATCCCCGCCACCAATACTAAAAATATATCCACTAGTGGCTTTAAAGTCATCTGAAAGGGTATTCCAATCAGCGTCGCTGTAACCTTCTAGGACATCAGGAAACTTCTCATAATGTACTATGAAATTCATTGTCCTTTCAAGGTATCTCATAAGCCTTTCTATAGCATGCCAATGCTCTAAACTAGGTCTACTAGTAAACCTGCATAAAACTCTTACGACATAAGATATATCAAGCCTAGTGCAATCAGTAGCATAACGAAGGCTACCAATAATACTTGCATAGTCAGATTGTTTAACATTGTCACTAGTGTTCTTGTATAGTTTTACACTAGGTTCATAAGGAGTACATGATTGTTTACAATCGAAATAATTATACTTTCTTAAAAATATTTCTATGTAGTGAGATTGGTCTAAAGAAAACCCATGTTTGGACCTAGTTATTTTCAAACCAAGTATTACACTAGCTTCACCCAAGTCTTTCATATCAAAATTAGCACATAACAAAGATTTGACATTATTCACAACATGAATATTCGAACCAAAAATAAGCAAATCATCCACATATAGGCATATTATAGTGCACATATTATTTTCAGACTTATAATGGATGCATTGTCACTTTCATTTATTCTAAAACCATTCGAAGTAACCAAACTATCAAATTTTGCAGGCCATTGTTTAGGAGCCTGTTTCAATCCATAAAGAGACTTATCTAACTTGCAAACTTTATTTTCTTGTCCTGGAATAATAGAACCCTATGGTTGATCCATATATATTTTTTTTCCTCTAATTCACCATTTAAGAAAGTTGTTTTAACATCCATTTGGTGCACAACAAGATCATGAATAGAAGCTAAAGCAAACACTACACGAATAGATATTATTCTAGTCACAGGTGAATAAGTATCAAAGAAATCAATATTTTCTCTTTGCCTATAGCCTTTGGCAACAAGCTGGGCTTTAAATTTTTCAACAGAACCATTAGGTTTTAATTTCCTCTTAACAATCCATTTGCAACCTATTGTTTTGCAACTAGGTGGAAGATCCACCAAGTGCCAAGTTTGATTTGACTCTAGGGAGTCAATTTCATCATTTATAGCTTCTTGCCACAAATCTGCATCTAAAGAAGTTAAAGCTTCTTGAATTGTATTAGGATCTTTTGGTAAGTTATATAAATGAAAATCAGGCCCAAAATCTTTAGCTGTTCGAGCTCTTTTACTTTTTCTAGGTTCTAATGTAGATTCACTATGTTCTACAACAATAGGTTCATCAATTCTAGAAGAATGAGAACCCCCACTATTTCAAAAAATAAAAGGAGATTTATTCTCATAAAAATCAGCATCAAGTGACTCAATTATGACATGATTTTTCAAATTATAAAATTTATAAGCTTTGCCATTAATGCATAACCAATGAAAACACATTCATACGCTCTACTAGCCAATTTCGATCTTTTTGGATCAGGTTTATGAACATAAGCTAAACAACCCTAAGTTCTAAAATACAACACATTTGGTTTCTTATTTTTCCAAATTTCATAAGGAGAAATATTCATTTTTGAGTTAGGAATTCTATTTAACACATAACATACAGTCAACACAATTTCACCCTACCAATAAGAATAAAGTAGCAACAGTCAATTCACAAAAAGTTCGATTTTTTCTTTCCGCTTTACCATTCATTTTAGGAGAATAAGGAGCAGTAGTTTCATGAA